TCCCCGATTACGATTCAATGTGCATCGTTTCCGATAGACATGCTGGAATTGATGCGGCGTTTAAGAACGTCAGACAATTGCATGGCCGAGTGAAACGTAGGTATTGCCTTTGACACCTTCAGAGCAATGTCCTGACAAAGGTCAGCAGAAATCGGTGGTTACGTAGATTGATTTGGGAAGCTGGTACTGCTGTTACAACAAATCAATTCAATGAAAACAAGCAGACCATCCAACAAAACTGGCCCAATGCATACAACTATCTGGCAGAACTCAATGAAGAGGCATGGACATTATGTCACGATGGGGTCATCGGTACGGCATTATGACAACCAATCTATCTGAGTCATTTAATAACTCGATTAAGAGTTGCCGAATGTTGCCTGTCACGGCAATCGCACGAATAACTTTTCACAAGTTACGAACAATATTTGCCGATAGGCGTACTACGGGGGAGATGATGCATCAGCAGCAAATGTTTTTCACGCCAAAGATTCATGAAGATTTGGTTGCTAGAGAAAATGAGTCAAAAAATGCAAACATTGAAAGATATAATGACACTCTTGGCATTTACGGCGTTGCTATAATTTCTGGATACATGGTTCACGGTCTTTACCATCATTTTCACGTCAACTTGGCTGAACGAACATGTAACTGCAGCAAGTGGAACGTAGACGGAATACCGTGTGCACATGTGAGAGCAGCTTTTAATTTCCGAAGGGAGGCATTTTACCAATTCGTCCCACAAGTTTACTCCGTCTAATTTGCAATATCTTCCTTCCTTTGATTCCTTGCACCCTAAAATTACCGAGGAATTTTATCAAAATGTATTGTCACTTTAAAATTTAAATAAATTAGATAAATGTAAGGTTAAAAGATACACATAAAACGCTACATCTCAATAATAGAAGGTGAATATTCATCAATATTAATTTAAGTTTGCGAAACACAATTTCAAATATTAACCCCCCAAAAAAAAATACTAAATCGTTCCTTAATCAAGGCCAATGTGCATAAAGGGGCGGATCCAGCGTAGGGGCAGCTGCCCTCCCCCCCCCCCCCCCCCTCTACCCCGCCCTCATCCCCGCCCTCATCTCATATATAATCTTTGTATGTATATATAGTACAAATTTTAGTATATGTGTAATAAAATAGATAAAAGTTAACAAAAGATGATTAGATCAAGTGGAAAGGCGTGTGTTTTGTTTTTGTAAATGGCCAAGATTTGAATTCTCGGTGTGTGTGCAGGTTTATTCGTTTATGTTATATTTTTTATGACTTTTAAATACTTCGTATTAATTAATTGTGAGATTTACACACATATATATATAACTTTCTTTTATATTAATAATGAGATGTGTTTTATATTAATAATGAGATGTGTTTATAATGTATTTTTTGTTCGAATTATTTTATCAAATTAATTATGTTTCATATCTTGTTATGAATATTTTTTATAAAGTTTTGATGTGTTTTATTTTTCGTCCACATCCAACAATATTTATTCTATACTTTTAAGTGTTTTATTTTTTTTTTATCAAACTATCTCTTTTGTTTTAATGCGTTTCGCCCCCACTGAACAAGTTTTCTGGGTCTGCCACTGTGTGCATATTTGTTGATCATCCTCCTAGGGTATTAGCTCAGGATCGGAGATAAAAGTTGTATATTTCTGAAATATCACCCCAAAAATAAAGAGAAATTCATCTCATCAGTTAATAAATCAGTAGATTCGAGTTAATATTCAATTTAGTTATCGATTATAGTGATTTTTTTTATTTAGTCTTAAGTGACTTTTTGTGTTTAATTAGGTCATTGACTTTGATGGTTTTACTTAATTGAATCCTCTATTAAGATAGCTTGGTAATTTCACCTCTATTAATATCCAATTTAGTGATTTTACTCAATTTACTCGTCGTCTATAGTGATTTTTCTAGATTTAGTTTTTTTATTTGGGAAAAATTATCAAAGTCAAAGACCTAATTAAGCACAAAAAGTCGTTTAAAACTAAATCGAGAAAAACTATTATTTTGATTAAAAAAAAAATAACTATAGTTAATGATTAAATTAAGTATTAACCTAATTTATTGCTTAGTTCAGAAAAATTTAATGAAGCTCGTATGAGTTTAACTTACTGGTTAAGTATTAAGTATAAGTATTTATGAGAATGACTAAAATTTAGTAAACCGGTGTGGACCTATTCTCTATGGATGTAAAGTAAGAAACGCGAAATTAGGGGAATTTTTGTTCAGCAAAAGAAGCCAAATCATATACGACAAAGTCTGAATTTGTTTTATGGCATTCACTTTCACATTCACGCCACGCCTACAAAGCAAGCACTCAACCATCCACAATGTCTCAATTATGAGTGTAAAAAATGTCCAAACTCAGTCAATGAATCCATAGACTCTCCATCATAAAATTATATCTTTTATCTTTTTGTGCTCCGAGCCCATAACTTCCTTCTAAATTCTTTTTCTATTTCTATTTCATGTTTTGTTTGTACATGTCGATGCCATTTTTCATTCATTTTACAATCAAATTAATTCATTCACACTATCCTAAGTTTTAATACAAATATCATTTCATTCTACATATATATAGGGTTGAGTTCACATGAGAACGGTGATATATAGAGGATTGTGTTGACAAATGATGGGCACACGACAGTATCATACACACAATTTAATACACAATGACACACTAGCATACATGTAAACATCAGATTTTGTACACATGCTTTATTAATTAATAAACCTATGCACACGACATACAAACTATGACACACGACTACATTAGATCATGCGCACGGCATACAGATCAGACTAATGACACACGACTACACCTGTCAACCATATGCACACAACATACAAACTATGGCACACGACTATATTAGGTCATGCACACGATATACAGACTAATGACACACGACTACACCTGTCCGCATAGTCTTCCATAATATACTTATCCTCATTTGAATATATATATATATATATATATATATATATATATATATATATATATATAGCATTTCCCTTTACTACTTTGGGCCTTTTCTTTTCTTCTTCTTCCTTCTCTTGCCATGAGTTGATTCTCCATTTTTTAATATACTCATTTTCATATGTTAATACAATAATATTTAGACTTAATTCTATTTTTTGTTCCAACAAAATCATTGAAATGTCGTTAAGTACAATGCCATTCGATATATATATATATATATACACACACACACACACACAAAGTGGGTTGACCCGCTATTTTTTTTCTTTTTAAATTCATAATTGAAGACCTAAATGTCTTTGTATTTTACTGAATTTAAATGGTTTTATTGATGGAGGACAAAAAATGGTCATACCATGATAATACTAGGACCAAAGATGAATGTTCTGGAAAAAAAGAAGACTAAAATCTAGGACAAAAAATTGAATTAACTCATAATATTTATATGGCAATTTTATTTATTTTTTTTTTTTTTGTGTACCATGAATACAAGGTACATTTTTAATATACAAAAAGTACGGAGTACATTATTTGTGTACTAAATGTACATTATTTGATATATACAAAATAATATAATTTTAGTACTTATATAATGTACTTACATTACTCAAATTATATATTATATATTTTTCATTAATACAAAATACATTTTAATATACTAAAAATACATTATATTCATGTACTAAATGTAAATTATTTGATAATTAGTATGCAAACTAATATACTTAAATACTTTCAGTACTCAAATAATGTATTTTTCATAAATACAAAGTTTATATTTTTAATATACAAAGGGTACGTTATTTGATAGTATTAAAAGTAGTTAGTACTTACTTTCAAATAATATACTTTATGTACACAAATAATATACAATACTTTTTTATTTACGATTCATGCAATTACGACTCTATTTATATAGTAATCTCAGTATATTTGTAACAAGATCTAGTTAGAATTTATCATCTTAATCTTAATTTGTCTGTAATATACTAATATGATCTAATTAGAATATACCATCTTATAATTGTATTACAAATAATGGCGACTATTTGAGTGATTTGCACTGCATTTACTTTTACATTTCTCCAAATTTTCTCTATTCTATGTGTTCTTTTTCCCAAATATACAAGTAAATAAATTCTCTATTTTCTTTAATTCAATTTTTATTTCTCAAAAAACTTATCCAATTAATAAGTACGAGTACATTACACTATAAATTAATTTGAGAAAGCTAAAATGGTCAACAAGTTATTAAAGCATATACAAAATGAGTTGAGATCAGACCCAAAAAAATATTTAATTTATTGAAAATAACATATTTATCACAAAAACTTATATAAAACTTACAAGAACCGTAATGCTTTTTACTTTTTAGTTAGTGAAATAAAAGTATTACATTTTTAATAAAAAAAAATATTATGTCTTAAATGAAATAGTCTCTATATTTATTAAGTTTATAATATTTCTATCTCAATTTTTTTATAAACAATTGAAGTTTTAATATAAAGTGTTAAAATTGAGAAAATGATCAAATAAGCTCTTAAACTTTACCAAAAAAGTCAATTAGGTCATTAAAATTTTAAAAGTTACAATTAAACCCACAAACATGTTATTTTAAAATAATAAAACCCAATCATATGTTGATGACCTATAATTGCAAGTAAATTAAAATTCCGACAAAACATCCAACCAAGTTCCGACGAGCTAGGTCAAATACCAACGACCGACAATATCGGTCGCCGGGTATTTGACCTAGCTTGTTGAGATTTGGTTAGATATTTGCCAAAAGTTCACCGACAGGTTATTGGGTTTCATTGCTCCAAAATAACATGTTTGTGAATTTAATTGCAAAGTTTAGGGCTTATTTGACCATTTTCCCGTTAAAATTCTATCACACAATCATAACGGGGGCTTAACCATCCAAAAAATGCTGTTATTTAACTCGTCTGGAAATGCAAACAGTGTCCGACAACACTCGTACTAAGCCTGCAAGCAAGAATAACTTCAGCAATTCATCCAACACCAAGACTAAATAAACTTCATATAATAGAGATGAATAAAAAGGCAGGCCTATGTGCTTTTAGTGTAATGTAGGTAGCAAAGGAAAAACAAATGCAGCAACAGGGATTTTCCCACTTTTGGTAAAATCCCGTTATCACAAACGTAAGCCGTAGGTAGTGCGCCGTAACAATAAAAGCAGAGAGTATTTATTTGTACACTCAAACAGCCCTTCCAACAAATCAGCGATGATGCCTTCCCTGAAAGCCGCCTTTATTCTTGGCAAAGAAGGCGTTTTTCGGTTTTGGAATCTCATGAATGTCCATCACTTGTATTGTCCTTTGCTTTTTAGCTTCACAAAGCAAGCAATACACACCAAAGAAACAACCCCCCGGTCAATCAATAGGGTAAGAATAGCAAGATGGGACGAAAGGAAAAGCACGTCTACTAGTACTACAATAGATTCCAAAGCAGTAAAACCAAACCATTTTGTGCTTCTTGGTAGTTCTCCTGAAGCCTCCTCCTTGCTGAATTTAGCTTCTCCATATCCATCACTGATTCCCTCGGAGGCCTCTGCAAAAACCCACCTCAAGTTATCAAAAACATTCCATCTGATACATTATGCATGCAAAGTTGTGTTCAATCTTCATCTAGAAGTAAAAGACAAATGCTTACTACTATCCTGAGCCATGAAACCTATTATAGAGCTGGGGGCCAATTAAGCAACTCTAATATGACTTGGAACAAAAATTGGTCTAATTAATCAAATAGATCAATTTGACAACTGCATAAGACAACTATCTTGTGTGCATTACACTTCCTATATTAGTTAACTAGAAGATAGCACAAGAACCTGTATCACAATCGGTCGCAGCAATTGGATTAATCTGACCATATGTTAGTGAACAACTAAGATATATCACCAATCCTACATTTGAAAATCCATCATTAAATCCTCAAACCCCAGCCCCTTTGAAACTCCAGTTCCATGCAATTGACAGCATGTACTTTCAAAATCTCCCCCTAACATAAATGACTGCAACTTATGATTTAAGAATCTATGTTAGGCCAAATGCTTTGCAACTATGTGGATGAGAATGAATGGAGCATATACGCTTGGGGGAGGAGCTGAAGCGGGCTTAGGAGCAGATTGAAGTGGTCTGGGAGGTGCTTCATTCCGAGGAAACGATTTTGGCTTCTGCTCTGGTTCTGAGTTATTCCGGTCTGAGCTTGAACTCCCATCTAAAAGAAGTACAAAACAAGTTGATTAAAATTGAAAAGTATAATAAAAGTAATTGGTGAGCAAGAATGTGATTCCATCTTGATGCTTACTTCTAGGATTTGGAGAATACCCAAAATCAGGTACCTGAAAAGACCATATAACCACTTTAGACCTTCAAAGTTTGAACTTTCCAACTTTAGTTTTTTGGTCTTTATAATAAGAAATTAATAATTTGATTTAGAGCATTAACCTGGTGATGACCATTGTGCTGATTTTTATGTAAGTTCTGCTGGGGTGAGTCTCCATCAGCTGTTGCCACCAAATCCATTAGTTACAAATTATGGTTACCATCATCATCATTTAATACACAATTTGAGCATAAAACTATAGAAATTAAAGTGGTGCTAAAACTACTTTTGGAACAATACCAATGAGATTAGAAGATGCTTGTTCAGGTTGGTTGAGCCTAACCCAATCATCTACAGTTTCTTTCCATTTTCTGCAAAGAAACAAAAACAAAAACATGTGTAGTTAATGCAACCAAAACTTCATGAAATACGTGTTCAAGACTCAGAAGCAACACAGTTGAACCACTCATCAACTGCTTCATTCCCAAAAATAAACCAAAACACATTTTTTGTTTATAATTCTTTTTTGGTCAGTGAAATTCAAACCTGACTAGCTGCTTCACCAATCTCCTAACTTCATTTGATGGATTCTTCCTCAATCGATTCACATGCCTTCCAATATCAGTATCCTAACCAAAATCAATTAAAAGTTTGATATATCAAATCAAGTAATCATCGAGAAAATTTATATTTATTTATTTATTTAAACTCACCTTCAGAGCTTGAAATGTAATATCCATATCTTCAAGGTTTTGTAGCAGCTCAATCACAGATTCTTCAGGCTATTAATCCCAAAAACAAGACTTTTTAAGTTGAGTACGAAAACCAAACAAATTCTAAAAGCATTTAATTTGAAGAAAAATAATAAACCTGTTCTGGATCTTCAAGCTGCTCTTTGATTCTGATAATTTTGGTCTGCTCATCGTCAAACAAGCCTCCATACGGATCAGCCTCTTCTTCTTCTTCTTCTTCTTCGCCCTCTTCCCGTTCGTTATCATCATGACGGTGATGATTAGACTCGGGACTGGAAGGACTCTTACTGATGTGCCTCTCGATATTGGTAACGCTATTGTAATTCGCAACGCCGTTGGGCGCAAAGTGAGCGTTGACTACGTCGTTGCAGTTGCGGCAGCGATTGGAATACAACTTCTCGACGATTCCGTCGCGCCGATCCTTGAATTCATCGGCGCAGTCGACGGACGCCACCTCAATCGCCGCCTCTATCAGCGTCCACACATCCGTTTTCGATTTCGACAGAATCAACCGGAGCTCATCCCCGTCCATGCTTGACCAAATCCGTTGGTTAAATTTTGTTTTCACCGAATTCTCTCAACAGAAAAATAAGATGAAAGGATTGCGCGGTTACGTCACCAGATCTGAGACTTCATGGGAGAGGCGTCATGCGATCTACAGAACGACGCCGTACTGATCCCCTTGTCGGAACTTCGAGTTATTGTTGTTGTCCAGAGACACTGAACCGACGAGAAGGTGGGGTGGAAGGGAAGGGGAGGGGAGAGCTTTTAAGACTGGAATTTTGAGTTATTTTCGTTTTTACCGAATGGACTATGGACTATGCTGGGCTGGCAAATTTGAAGAGAAGGGTATCTCCTGGAATAACACCTTCTTTTATTCTCTTTTTTGACTCCCCTTTTCTTCTTTTTTGTTTTTCCTATTTTTCGAAATTACAAAAAAAAAAAAAAAATGAATTCACACCTAATTTAGTTATTGATTTTTTTATACTTAATTAGGTTTTCGACTTTGATAATTTTATCCAATTAAATCATCTCTTAGATAATTTAATAATTTCATATCGAATACTTAATTTAGTCATCAATTATAGTAGTTTTGTCTATTTATTTAGTCCTTGATTCAAGTAGCTGAAGATACAGTTGAATAAAATTATTGAAGTCGAAGATTTAATTAAGCATTAAATTTTGTTTAGGATTCAATTGTAGAGAACTAAATTGAGTATTAATTAAAAGAAATTATTTTTGTAATTTATATGGGTGAGCTGTGAAGCAGAAGGGGGAATGAAGTTGCTGACGACGATGATCTCCTTTCTTTCTCTCACTAAAAAGGAGTTTTGTCTTTGAGTTTGGGATGAGGAGAGAGAATATGAACGGGAAGGGTAAATTTGGGAATTTACCTAAAGAAAGTTGCATACTCCGAATCCCGGAATCAGCGATCCCGCCTGTACGCGGGAATCGGGATATATGCTTATCCCCCATTGGTAGAGGCCAAGCTGCACGCTTATTGGGATGGGCCGAATAGTAGTCTGCTGGGCCCATAAACGTTGCCTTGTCCAATGAATTAAGGGACCACACTACGGCAAATTATTGTGTGGATCATGGTCCAGATAGTTGTGTGAACCATGAATACAAAGTACATTTTTAATATATTAAAAATATATTATTTTTGTATTGAATATGTATTATTTAATAATATATAAAATAATATACTTTCACTATACAAATAATATATTTCTAGTATATTAAAAATGTATTTTTATTTATGGTTCACACAGCTGTATGAAGTATGAATCATGATCCATGTAATAATGTTTGTTGCCACACTACAACTCACTCTACTACAAAGCCTTGCTACACATATATGGCAAATTTTACTATGGACCATGGTTCAAATCGATGTCGTTTCTTTTAATGAAAAGGAATGGCACATGTTTCCTGTAATTAATTCTATTTGTATAATATATTCAGTTTCATTTTAAATACATTGTAGTTTCGTTTCAACAAAACTAAAGTTTCATTATGTTTCAACTACAGTTTATTTAACATTATACATACAGTAGTCTTATTACCGTGCAACCGTTATTGAATTTCATTTTATACACACTGTAGTCTAATTACAACACCACTAAATTATAATTTTAATTCAACTACGATTTCATTGGACAATATACACTCAAATATGTGAAACTATTATTCAGTTTCATTTTATATACACTATAATTTCATTACAACACAACTGTACTAAAGTATCATTTTGATATAACTACAGTTTCATTTGGCAATATGCACTCAATATGTGAGACATGTTATTCAGTTTCTTTTTATACATATTGAAATATATATATATATATATATATATATATATATATATATATATATATGTTTCCAGATGAGGTGATGACCTATCCTTTGGTGAGGATGCGAGGACTAATCCAGATCATCCATTTGGAGTGATCTAAAGACTATGACAAAACAAAGAAGGACTGCACAACAAAGTAGGATGGATGCACATCAATCACACTATGAATACACAACAACCTGGGATAGAATGCACAACAAATTGAATACGAAAAATTAAATTCATTTCATAGAATTAAATCACAGTCATTGACTTATTTAAAAGAAAGAATTAGATAAGTCCTCAGGTCCTCACTTAAGGATAAATCCTCATTTAATCCTATATATATATATATATATATATATATATATATATATATATATATATATATAGTGAAAGGTTCCCGTGCGAATGTGCGGTGGATTAATGTGTGTGAGATTTGTACTCAATGTGCGTGAGTGTTGTGCTTAATGTGCCTGAGATTTGTATTTAATGTGCGTGAATGTGTAAAATGCAGCAGAAAATATTGATGTCAGCTTCTTCCCCATCCCAGTAGCCATTGCCCCCCCCCCCCCTCCCTGATGATGATGATGATGCGGAGGCGAGCTATGGTGGTTAAGAATTATGGGAATAATACAACAGAAATCCACACTTAGCTGCTGTGCAAATTTTACTGTCCGTGCGTCATCTATATAAACATTTAACTGCACTGAAGATAGCTGATAATCCAGAATCCATGGTCAAATTGAAGGAAGAAGTAACAAGAAGCTTGGGCGTTAATGTGAGTGAGTTTCTGTTCTACTTCTTTCTGAGCTCGTAATTCTGAAATACTCAAGCATATTAAGCACAAATCTCACGCACATTAAACACAATACTCAGGCACATTAAGTACAAAACTCACGCATATTAACATGACGCACATTAAGTACAAATCTCAGGCACATTGAGTACAAATCTCACGCACATTAAATATAAACCTCACGCACATTAATCTACTGCACATCCGCACGGGAAGCCACAAATGCACCTGATCCCTTCCATATATATATATATATATATATATATATATATATATATATATATATATGGTTGAATTCAAATGAGGACAACAATATATAGAGGACTGTGAGGACAAATAATGGGCACACAACAAATTTATACCAAGCACACAACTTAATACATAATGGCACACAAGAATAAATGTAAACATCAGGTTTTGAACCCAGGCTCTATAAATTAACAAATCTAGCGCGCGACATACAAACTGTGGCACACGACTACATTCGGTCATGCACAGGACATACCTGCTAATGGCACACACTAGATCTGTCCTCACAGTCCTCTATAATATACTTGTCCTCATTTGAATATATATATATATATATATATATATATATATATATATATATATATATATATATAGGCAAAGTTCAGGTGCGGCGGTGCGGCATCACCAATAGTTCAACAAATATACACTATCAACGTTAGGAAAATACACCACAAAAAACAGAGATAAATTAGGTACGCATCACCAAAAACACACCATTAGGTGTGAGTAAAAACATCATACAGTGTTCAGAAATACACCATTGGGTGGTGAGTTATATGGTGTATTTTTTTTAGGTCTGTTGTGTATTTTTTGCTGTTTTATTGCATTTCATTGTAGTGTGTTTTCCTTACACTGTTGGTGTATTCTGAAAATTCGCCGCACCGCCGCATGGGAAGACCCCGCTGCATTTGAACTTTTTCCTATATATATATATATATATATATATATATATATATATATATATATATATATATATATATATATATATATAGAACTTCATAGATATGTTTAAACTGGTGGTGATGGTGGACAATGATACATTTGTACTACATATATATTGCACTAGATAGTAGGGCTGGGCACTTCGGTCTTCGGTTCGGTTTTTTTCGGTTTCTGTTTTTCGATTTTAGAAAAGTTGAACCATTCAGTTTAACATTATAGTTCGGTACGGTTCGGTTTCAATCGGTTTGGTTTCGGTTCGGATTTAATTGGTTCGGTTTAAGACTTTACGAGAATTACGATCATCAAATTTCAACATTTCATAATTTTCCAAACATACTACCAAACAATACCTATTCACATAATCCACATCTAAAATATAAACGTTATATAACAAAATAAGAATTTAAAGTTTAAACATACTACTAAATAGTAAATACTAACATCACATACTAATAGCAATCTAATTACCAAAACATCACATACTTAGAAATTAGAATCCAAAGTTCAAAGTTCAAACATTACAAACATGAATCACGTAGTTCAAATTTCAAGTCCAACATTTAAAGAGTACAAACATGAAATATCAAATAAAAATATTAAGTTGGAATATTTTTATTGATAAGATGAATAATCATCTATCTGTATAGTTCATATTAAAAGAACAAATGTCAATTACTATATAGTTAATTTTTGAACACAATCTGTCATTGCTAGTGCACTCGAAATATATTTCAGTACTAGAAAATAATTATAATGCACTGGAAATCAAAATTAGAATGACTGTAAAACACATTAAATTTATAGAAAAACATGAAACTAAGGAAAATACAGAATATTGTAAATATAACTCAAGTTAGATATAATTGTGAGGTAAAGAACAATTGCGACAAACAACAAAAGTGCAATGTAGAAAACAAGCTATAAAGAAATCAAATAAAAAATTTAAGGTTCGGTACCAGTAAGAATGAGAACTGAACGGCGGAGCAAACATCAAGGAACTTGGATTTACTTTATTATTATTATTGTTATTATTATTATTATTATTATTATTATTATTATTATCATTATTATCATTATTATCATTATTATCATTATTATTATTATTATTATTATTAATTTATTATTATTATTATTATTATTATTATTATTATTATTATTATTATTATTATTATTTATTTAAAAATTTATATAGCATTTGGTTCGGTTCGGTTTTTGCCAAATCGTTCGGTTTCAGTTCGGTTCGGTACTAAACCATTCGAATTACAAAATCCCAAACCATTCGGTTTTATATTACTAGTTCGGTTCGGATCGAATCGGTTTGGTTCGGTTCGGATAAACCGAACCGAAGTGCCCACCCCTACTAGATAGGTTGGTAGGGATGATATCAGATATGTATCTAGTACAGTTGAGATGGACGTGCAGGAGTAGAAAGCGGAGGAAGCGAGACCTGAGCGTGAGGTGATTGGGCGTCGCAATAGCATGTGAGAAGATGCCCGGGATTGCTGCCTTGCTGTGGAGTGAATCATTATTGTGTGGAGTCTTAGACTATGGCCCACACAACTATGTGAATCATACTATTAAATAATGTAAATTTAATAAGTAAATAATATACTTTTAATCTATACTATATATAAAAACAAAATTTTGAACTTTAACTTCCCGTCCAATTTCTAAAAAATCTCGCTTTCTAATAAAATATATTGTTTTCTACTTTCATA